AACGATAGATCCACCCAAAGACCTCGTCCCGATTACGAAAGTTCATCCAAAGGTGAGAACTATCCAAATAACGATAGATCCACCCAAAGACCTCGTCCCGATTACGATAGAGAGGCCCTCCATGGTCCAGACGATCGAAATGAATATCCACAGAGTCGACAGTGCAGGTACATTTGACTACCTCTCATTGTCAATTAAACACATAGAATTTTTTTATTAGTAGTGTAATGTATGACGGAGATCGTACTTATCTTACATTCATATTTGTGTCTTCGTGTTAGTTTAGAAATACTCACAAGAAAATTCAATTATTTTTAAATAGAGGCAATGAGTTTCGTTGTGGAAGTAATGAATGCCTGCCGCGAAGCGTTAAATGCGATAATAAGATTGATTGTCGAGACGCCAGTGACGAAGAATCTTGTAGTAATCTTGGGTAAGTTAAATGCTATCATGTCTTTTTTTTATTCGAATGCATTACTTGACATAATATGAATGAATACGGCAATTATCACTTGACACGGACTTTTGATAATGACATTTATCTTCGCTCTTTTTCTGTCTTTCTTAATTTCTCTTTTTATTTAAAAATCTCAGCTTTAAACGCATGATTTTGCATATTCACAAAATTCTAGAAACAGAAATCGGGGGAATGACTGCGTTCTGCCTGAACAACCGGAAGGGGGGAACTACGAATTGACTGACTGCGAAGAACCTTGCATTAAACGTCCCGGTGACTTAGTTCCCAAAAACAGTATCCTAAATTTTACCTGTAAGAGCAATTACATACTGAGCGGAAACACCATTTCCGTTTGTGTCGACAACGACTGGTATCAGCCGCCTTCGTGTCTCAGTAAGTCTATTTTGACAGTGTATTTACCTTCGAACGTTGAAGTCTCTGCTTGAGGCAACATTTTTCTTATTTAACGACGCGTCGTACGATATCGAAAATTTATTATTTACCTTCTCCGTTGATTATCTCTAGAAATCTGCCCGCCGTTGAACAGCACCAGCGTGGACATTTCTTGCAGCTACCAGGGGAAAACGGTGTCCTGTAGCGAGCGCATAATGCCTGGTACACGGGCTACACTCGCCTGTAAATCATCTTATAAATTACCTTTAACGAACGATCCGGCTTACAGGGAGATCACGTGTCTCGACGATGGTTTATGGGATCGTCGCCTTTTTCGCTGTCTACCAGGTACTTGTCATTCACGTGCTTCCTGACGCGAGGAAACGAAAAATAAGAAAAAAAAAAGAAACGAAAAAGTCTCGACGAATTGAACGTCAACCATGCATGCTACCGTCCATTAGCAGACCACACATGACGTTTTTCCTCAATAATTGCCGTATAAGATTACAGTTTCGAGACTTTTTTTCCAGCTAGTGATTTATGATCCGGCGGCTCATCTGCAATTATCGTGCCATCGTACAGCGAAAATATTAACGACCGTCTGCTTAATTAGAATGTGGAACGGCCATCGCGCGCGGCAACACCTTAATCGTAAACGGATTTCAAGCCAAAGCAGGGGTATTTCCATGGCACGTGGGTATTTACGCCAAGGAGCATGCGGGCGAGTATCAGCAGATATGCGGCGGCACTTTAATTAGCAACAATCTCGTCGTATCAGGTAAATTATCGCGCGGGTGAATCATTTTATTCATGGATTTACTCTCGTCGTGTAAATGCATATTTCGTAGCGGCCCACTGTTTCTACGATGAGACTTACAACAGACTGTACCGCGCATCGAAATACGCTGTGGCCGTCGGCAAACATTATCGCGATTGGAACGCCAGAGAGAAATACGCGCAGCAATCGTCGGTGGAGAGCATTCAAGCGGGCGGCAGGTACCAGGGAGCGAGAGGTAATTTCGCCAACGACATAGCTTTGTTGAAGTTGAAGACGCCCTTCGAGCTGACTACCTTAGTAAGGCCCGTCTGCATAGACTGGGACAACACGTACGAGAGGGAGCAGCTGCAAGTGGGACACGCCGGCAAGGTAACATGGGCCAAGTATCAATTGTGAGAACCGACTAATTGGCCGTCTTAGCGGCAATTCAATTAATTACGAGGGCGCTTTGTAATGTCCGAGCGAAAGTACATTTGGCGAACTACTAGTTGCAAACTGCATTAACGGCACAGTTTTGAAACTAAACTTCGGCCCGCGTGCACGTTGGGACATTGTTACAGGGTGTCCATTTAAATTACCGCGCGAGTGCAATGCGTACAGTTTTGTCTCTGATCGCGAGTGGAGGGGGGGGTTTATCTAATTTTTGTGAAGTCGCGGTTCGTTTCGCTTGTTGGCACGAGGAGGAAGGGAGAATAGAATGTAAAGAGAAAATAAAACGGACACGTGAGCTCACTTCGTGATTTCAGGTGGTCGGCTGGGGTAAAGACATCAAAGGCGAACCCACCAGGAGCTTACAGGAAATTGACATGCCGTTCGTGCCGTACGATCAGTGTTTGTCCGCGGTTCCTGTAGATTTTCGAGGATACCTCACGTCCGACAAATTCTGCGCCGGCCACTTGAACGGTGAGTCTATGTATGCGAACGAACGAGAGATTTATTTGCTCGCTCATAGGAGAACATGCGTGAAATTACGTAATGTTTGATAATACTAATTGACTGATGACAGATGAAGTAACTATGAGTATCTTTACTACAATCGCGATAAAAACATGCAATTCTGAAAACGTGAATGCACGTGCGTTTCTCCTTTGTATTTCGTAATCGTACATAATGAAAGTAATTGCACAATTATCAGGCTCGAGTGTTTGCGACGGGGACAGCGGCGGCGGCTTGTGCTTCGAGAAGGATGGCATTTGGTATCTTCGTGGCGTCGTGAGCGTAAGCCCGGAGAACAGAGGCAGCTGCGATTACAACTCGTACGTTGGATTTACCTCTATCGGTCATTTCCGTGATTGGGTTCGCGAGGCCTACGTCAATTCGTAAATGTTCCGAGGGACGTGTGAGCTGTGCGGGCGCGCGAAATATATAGCCGGGCATCATCGAGCCTGCAATAACGCCAGACAGTTCGATGTGACGTCAAAACAAGATAACAGCAACAAA